ACTGTGGCAAAAAAGAAGAGACCGTACCTATATCCTTTATCAGTGTTGAAGGTTTCCTTGATAATATTCCATCACACTCATGTAAACATCACACTCATTTAAAACAGTTTAAATTCCATCACACTCATGTAAAAATAAAGGTCTTAGACCAGATTTCCCAACACTCAGGGATTCTACACCTGCTTACCTCCCCATCTGCCAATAATCAACGTAGCCTCCTGTGAATACATTCCTCATTTTACTCTCTCCTTTCTATTCCCTTACTCTCCTCACCTAGTGTCCATAATTCTCAGGGGATTCCACAACTAGAACATCCAGCTTTTTCTTGCTCTCTACAGAAAAGGTTCCACCCCAAGATTCCAGACATCAAAGGTCTTAGCAAAGCAGAAACTATAAGACCTGATATGGAGATAAAAGACCCAGGAAATAAATCCGGAAGAGGGAAGAGTACAAGAGGTCTTTTTCATGACAAAACAGTAAAGGAGGAAAGACAGGGAGAGGAGGTGACAGAGTAAACAAAACATACTAATTAGCACTGTACAACATGCTTTATTACATTTGAGCCAAGCAAGGTGGATCAGCAACTGGCATTACATCAGTTTTTAAACTAATGTATAATGCAAATGGAAAGAAAAGTCCTGACACCTTGTCAGGTTGTGCCAAGCCCTGCCCTCCATACATGGACATTCATATTTTTGTGCTATTTCTGAAGGTCAGTGAAAAATGCAGTTTAAAACAGGCTTGATATGGAATAGGGTTCTCTTAATATGGAAGAGGGTTCTGCTGGGGTTCTGCAAACCTAAGCAGCCAGGGTTCCAAAGCCCCTGAGGCTGCTTTCTAGTCTGTGCCAATGGGAAATAACATGGTTAAAAAGAGTAAGACAGAAAAGACTATCAAAACTTTTTCAGAATTAGGTAAATCAATCCCTGGTCTCTAATCTCTATAGTTCTGCTTTATGGAAAGCAGAAACTGATGAAGAAATTTGAGTGCCTCCTACCAGCTTGGACTCCATTTCTTCCCCATGATATGCTGTACCTCATAAAGTATTATTAACCCTTAAATGAAATAGACCTAAGAGATGGTTACTGGTATGCCAAGTTAATAAACATACATAATTTGGGTAATCGCAGAAAAAGCCTGAATTTTTCTACCTAATTTTGTTAGAAATATTATTTTCTCCTCAATACATCATGAAGACTGGTTAAATTATGTCTTTGAAGCTGAAAATGGTTTAGAATTATAGTTCAAATAGGCCTCAGGCACACCAGAAAGGTAGGGAAGAACTATACATTCATATAAATATTTTATCAATTAAATAACAGTAGGAATTCAGTTAATGAATGGAAATTACATACTCCTTAGTATACCCTGCATCAGAATTGCTATGAGACTATTCTAAACTCATCAAATATTTCCACAATGTTCCATATGCCTTCCCATTGCCATTACTAAACGCTCTGGCCACTTTCATGCTAATACTGTATATATTCTTTCACTTGTAATGAGGTACAGGCCAATAAAAACAAACCGTGGGTACTTGACAATTTTGTACTGGTCAGCCTTAATAATCTTCATATTAGTTTCCACAAGCAAGATATATTGTTTTTTAGATCCACATATAATTAACACCTAATGCTTTGTACCATTGTTCTAGGCATGTTGTATATAATAATTCTCAAAACAAGCTTATGAGGTAATTACAAGATGCTTAGGAAGAAATGGGGAGCAAGAGAGTTCACTTAACCATTACTCAGCACTAATCAATTTTTACCTATAATGTCCACATACAGCCAGAAAAATATCTAGACAGACAAAAAAGGCAAAAATAAACTTGCTATAATTAAACTTTTTTCATATGTAATAATATTGGTTTCCTATCTATAGAAGACACATTCTGTTCTTCTAATTCATGTACCCTAAATTTGTTCAAATTTTATCTGCTAATAAGAGTTCAAAAGGCAAAGTAAAAATAGTATAAATTAACACCTTTTTTTAGATTGGACACAGATAACTGTTGGTCTTGACACCCAGATGCAGTGGGCTCAATTATGTCACAAAAGTCTATTAAATGGCTACTGGAATCCTACCACCATTCTATATAGGAACTTACTGGATTTTTTTTTTTTTTAACTTTTCATTACCACTATTCAGAAAGTTTCCAAAAAGGTTAAAAAAGAAAAGCAAAATGGGAGGATGGTCAAAAGCTGAAAATATCATTTGTCTTTCAACTTGAAGAAAGGCTGAAGAGACCATGCTTGTACTGTAATACAAAGGCCTGAAGAAACAATTAGAGCAAAGTTCCATGGGATTCTGTAACAAGTGGTAAATTATGGAGAAAAAGCACTATTGTGTTTTCATTGCAGCTAATATGAAGGCTTGAGTGACTCACAGGATTGTGTATTACAGAAAACTGTTTAGAAAATGCTAAAACGGAGTTGAAGTAAGTATTGCTTATAATAATGCTAGTTAACAAAAGCATAGTTATAAGCTACAACGAGCTATTGCTTATCTGCTCCAAGGAAAGATTTGAGAAGACTTAAGTCCATGTTTCCTTTCAGGTTAAATTTTATAGGCCCTTATTGTTTCACATTTGATTTATGATACTGGTATTCTAATGATACTCTCTAACTCTCCAATTCAACCTTTGTGTTGTCACTCATCACCTAAGTAACAGAGATCCTTTAAATGTTTGGTTCCCTCATAATCACAGCACAAAGTCCAAACTTCTTAGCACTGCATAACCATCCTTCTTCCTTTTCTAGCTACTTTCTCAACTGCGCCATTTGCAGGCAGGTGCGCCCTTCACAATCTCCTCCTGTTCCTAACCAGACACGTTCGTCTCTGGTCATCAAATCCCAGACCTACCCTCTGTGTCTTGGCTTCTGCAAGTACAGCCCTAATTTCCTCAAAATGACATGCAGGTTCATGCTTCTGTATCCTTGCATATGTTATTCCACTGCCTGGACTGTCTTTTCCCCTATCTCCCTGTGCCTTCTGCTTAACTAAATTCATCCTTTAGGACTCAGTGTTACATTATCTGGGAAGCTTTCCTGACACCCTCACCACTGGGTGGGTGAAATGCTCTTTGGACACTGCACTGTAACTTCACTAGACCATGAACTGCTTTACCACTCTCTGAGTGACCTTGAACAAGTTCATTAATTTCTCTGAACCCATTTTTCATATCCATAATGCCAGCATTAATTTGATGTCAGTAGGAAATAACGTGAAAAATCATTTTGTAAACAGTAAAGTACTATGCAAGCATTAACAGTTTTATCATAAACCAAAAGAGCACAAGTATTCTAAGTGAATAAACTTTAGTTGCTTTAACAGAAAGATTCATCCCTTGGCTCCCAGTTCCCCCACTGAGGATGTCCTGCATTTTATCCAATTTTATGGCTCCACTAACTCTTTGGTCTTCTACCTTCAAAGGAAAAATAATCTACAGTCTATGTGATGTCTAGGTCACTTGAAGAAAAAACTATGTGGGAAGCTCCTGAAGGGTAAGGCCTGTCCTTTTTTCCAGCTTTCAAAAGAGTACTGTGTTATGCAAATACTTGGTAAAACTGAAAGAGCTGGCTGAATGATCGAGTGAGTAGAAGTTTACCATGTCCTTAGTGAGCTTATATCAAAAGGAGTGATATATGAGAATCTGGCCTTGTGAAAATGGTACCAAATACCTTCAATGCCATCTTAAAGTATAGTAAAAAATCAAGTTTCCTGCTACGATTATTTTATTGGGAATTTGATAGATGTTTTAATGCTATTTTAGTGACTCATGCTTAACCTATGAATGTTCAACATTATCAGAATCACTTATGCAATTCAATTCCTATTTGTTGAATATCTGTTACACTAGGTCCTACGAGAGTACTAAGAAAAGGTGATGTACTCTGCCTATAAGATGCTAAACACACAGAAATCAATCTAAGTCATCAATGCCTGTAATTAATACAAGGCAAAATGTTGTAAGGTGTAGGGAAGACCTTAGGCTAGTGCATCAATGAAGACATTGAATAGGGGACTGGGCCCCTAAAAATTAAAACTGTATGTTATAAATTATTGGTGGCCAATAGCTTGTTACTATAGAGTATCTGTTATATATTAGACATTTAACATTTGCTACATGCAATGAACAGATATTTCTAATCGCCTTCTTCCTTAATCTAATTACAAACATACGTGTGTGGCTGTTTAATGAAAAAGGACCCATTGTTTACACTTATATCACCCATGTGTGCCACGTACAGTTCCCAGACCTTAGGTATATTAGCTCATCTAATCTCCATGGCAACCCTACAAGGCAGTTTTAAATTATCCCTATTTTACAGACGAGGAAACCAAGTCATAGGGCTTGTAATATTTCAAGGGTGAGGGGCAAAAATGGAAATACGTAAACAAGTATCTAAGAGACAAAAACGAGTGTTCCATATAGAGTGCGCGGAACCACTTGCTAGAACTGCTTCAGGCAGTGCTTTCTCTCTCCCCCAACACACCTGGTAGGAACCGCCTATCTCCTTTCCCTTCCCGCCAGGGATTAATTTCCTTTTCCTGAGTTCATAACGGAACTGTTGATTCTCGTGCAAATCCTCTCAAACATTTCCACTCCAGGGATCGGTTGCTATTTAAATTATAGCAGTTCAGGGTAAATGAGGCCGTATCAGATCCCCGGGTGGACAAAGCTCGGGTAGGATCACGAAATTAAACCTTTCGATCTGGGCATCCGTTCCTGGATTACTCCATCTGGCAGCAGCGGCCGGCTCATCCAGGAGGCGCTACCCCGGCAGGATCCTCTCCTGACCCAAGGCAGCTGGGATTTAGCCGCCTGCTCGTTTACCATTCACCTGCCGGTTCTGCCTGCACAATCTCCATCTCGCTCCGACCAAAAGCCAGGCCTCACGCGCTTCTCTGCCCACTGCGGTCAGGTCACAAAACCCGCAGGGGTGCTTGTGGGCAAAGGCAGCCCGTCCCGCTCCCTTCCCCGGCCGGCTACTCACGGTTCCAGTACACCGGGTAGCACTCTCCTTGGGTCACATCCACCTCGTAGAGGCCGCCCCGCACACACACCCGCTCGATGTTCACCAGCTCCTCCATCTCGGGCTCGTGCCCGGCCGTGCGCGGGCAGAAGCCGCAGATGCGATCCTCATCGTCGTCCTCCCCGGAGCTGGAGGCCAGGCCGCACACACGGTCGCCGTCCGCGTCCTCGGCCTGAGGCCGGCCACTCGTAGCCTCAAGTAGGGTTCGGAAAGCGAGCTCGATGCGAAATGAGTCATAGCCAATGAAAGGCTTCCAGGTCTTCTTGTCCTCCTTGTAGAACCAGCGCACCTCCTCCGGGCCCAGCTCTGTCACCACCTCGTAGCGGTGTCGGGCGGCCGCGCCACTGGGCCGGGCGCGCTTCCTTTCGCCGAGCCCCACTCCCGCCGCCCCGCCGCTCTCCGAGTTCGACGGGACCAGCGGCGGCGGCGGGTGCAGAGACGAGCAGCTGCCGCCCCCGCCGCTCTCACCCGCGCTGTAGTAGCGCAGCGAGGAGCCCGACTCGGCCGAGCTGAAGTCATAGGTCTCGTCACTGAGACAGGGGTCCAGGGCCAGGTGGTGATTGTGGTCTTCCGCGGTCGGCGCCAAATGCAGCCCGGTCTCCCCGCGCAGCAGGGCCGGGGGCACCTCGCCGTCGCCCGGGTCCCTGCCCGGCAGGTGGTCGAAGAGGCAGACGGGGCCGCCGAACGCCGGCTCCGCATCCAAGCCCAAGCCGTTAGGCTCGGGGTTCCGAAGGAACCCGTGGCCCGGGTAATTCATGGTGTGGAGACGCTGTCGTCTGCCCGGCCCCCCGCCGAGCCGTGGCCCCCAGCGTTTCCGCCACACATTCAACGCAGTCGCCCTCTCCACCGGTAGTTTTTAATCTTTCAAATCCCGACTGGGGATGCGGCGGCAGCGGCGGTAGCTCCGCCTCCCCCGAGGCCCGCCGCAGCCGCAGCTGCGTTCCACCGCCCGCCCCATTGTTACGCAGCCCGACGTAGGCGGTGCTTGGCCCTAGGCCCCGCCTCGCCGGCCGCGCAGGCCGCCCCGGAAGTCCCGGGTCCACCCTCTCAGCGTCCAGTCGGCGCCTCCTGCCTGAAGGCCGCGCGTGCTGGGTCACCTCAGGGCACCCGGCCATCTTCTGGGCTCCTCAGTTCTCCTTTCCCTCCTCTCCCTGCATAGTTGCCCTGTCCCCCGCCCTTCTCGAGGTCAGAGCACAGATGTGGACAGTCTTTACCCCACTCATCCTTGTAGTCTGGGTCGTGTGCCCAGAGGCTTAAGCTACGTGGCCCGGGCCCCCGAAAGCAGGAGTCTACTGATACTGCTTTTGTGACCTTAGGTTCCTCAGTTGGACCTTCGTAGTCACTTAGTTCTGGTCCCTTCTGAATTGCTGGCCCACATGAGGCCACTCCATCCCAATAGTGGAAACTTCCCTTTATTCGCCACCTCATATTAACGTTAATCTTTTGCAACTCCGCGGGGGCGGGGGGTGGGGTGGGGTTCGATAAGTTCCCAAACCGGGGCAAGTTACCTATGAAGCCGAAGTCAGTCAAAGGCAGAAATAAAGTGGGAGAAACCGTTTATTGCTTACAAGCAGTTGTTCACTTCTGCTTGCCCATGTCTCTTGTGACCCCGCTGCAAAAAGGGACCCCACCCAACATCTCTGGTCCAGATAGGCCCTCGCTCCCCCTCACAATCACCTATTGCTATGGAGATGGACTACACTCCACCCCTTGGAAACACCTATTGATTTGAAGATACACTAAAGCCAGGTAAGAGATTCTGGAAATACTGCAATTTTACCCACATCTTTAAATACTTATTTCATGTTTTCTCAACCTCCTTGTAAGGCTCTTGATGGATACTGAGTCTATGTCCCAACCTCTCCCACACGGTGGGTGCACAGTGTTGATATAATCATGGCCAGTCCAGCCAGTTGTGTAGGTTATTAGAAGAAAGCCACAAAACACCTAGATTCTACACTTAGTTTTGCTAACCACTGGCAAGTCATTTAATCTTTTTAATCTTTTTTGTTTCCTCGTCTGTGAAATGAAATGATTATTGGACCAGATGATCTCTAAAGCTTCTTTCAGCAATGGAATTCTATGACCTTCAAGGTTCTTCCTGTTCTTCGAACATCTCTGATTATAGCTCACTTTCTGCAATCAGGTTGAGCACTGAGGCTCCCTTTTGTGATTCTTGTATACTACTAACAAGTTTTATTTTATAAGCCCATCACCCTATGCTGAGAATCCAGAGAAAAACGTCTTCAACCTCAGGGTTCTCAATTCAAGATTACAAAATCTTCACTGTTTCTTTTACTCCCTTTACGGTGTAATCAGATTAGTACTATGGCTTTTTCTTGCTTCTAGGATTTAACTTGTCAAAGATTAAGTCACTATTTGAAGCAGGACTGTCTCTAGCTTGTACAATGCCTTTATGTATGAATTTGAAAGAGATGACAAATAATGTGTTGGTGAAGATGTGGAGAAAAAGAGAACCCTTGTGTACTGTTGGTGGGAATTCAAATTGGTGCAGCCACTGTAAAAAACATATGGAGGTTTCTCAAAAAAATTAAAAATAGAAATACCATATGACCCAGTGATCCCACCTCTGGGTGTTTCCCCAAAGAAAACAAAATCATTAATTTGAAAAGATACATTCACCCCTATGTTTATTACAGCATTATTTTCAATAGTCAAGATATGGAAGCAACCTAAGTGTCCATCAACTGATGAATAGATAAAGGAGATGTATTATATGTACACAATGGCATGTTACTCAGTCATAAAAAAGAATGAAATCTTGCCATTTGTGACAAAATGGATGGACCTAGAGGGTATTATGCTAAGTGAAATAAGTCATAGAGAAAGACAAATATCATAACTTTACTTACATGTGGAATCTAAAAACCAAAATGAATGAACAAACAACAACCAAAAACAACCAAAAATCCCAGAAATAGACTCATAAATATAGAGAACAAACTGGTGTTTGCCAGAAGGAAGTGGGTGAGAGGATGAGTAAAAGAGGAGAAGGGGATCAAGAGGTATAAACTTTAGTTATAAAATAAATAAATAAGTCACAGGGATGAAAAGTTTAGCATAGCAAATATATGGAATATAGTTAATAATATATAATGATTTTGTATGGTGATAGATGGTAACTATACTTATGGTGAGCATTTCACAACATATATTAATGTCAAACCACTAAGTTACCTGAAACTAGTACAATATTATGTCAACTGTACTTCAAAAAAATTGTGTTAAAAGATGACATTTCTTGTGGGCAAATACAGAGCAGTGTGGGAGGTGTTTGGCTTGGTAAGCAGATCATGGGCTGGATTTTTGCACCAATTTGTGCCATTGCCAGATGATAATCTTATGTAATGAGTAATGTGTCCAACTGGACATTGCAGCCCTGACTCAAAACATCTAACGTCAGAGCCCTCATTTCCATTTATACAGCTTTCTATGTACCTGCTTTTCAGTTTCTTCTCCAGTCTTGCTCTATGCAATGTGCAGAATATGAAATTGTGTGTAAACTTTGATCTATTTACTACCCATGAAAAGATTCATTCTAAGAGTGCTTTTCTGGCCACCTATGTACCAGGCACCTCTGTGCTCGGTTCAGATACAAAAGAGAAAGGCGAGACACTCAGTTCCTTCAAGGACCTTACAGCCTAGTGGGGGATACAGACAAATAGACACACTATAGAACAGTATGAAAAGTACTATGTAGGGGATTTTAAATAAGGGATATCATGACATTTAAACTATCCCTATTCCTTTAGGTTTCCTGATGGAATATAGCCTACTTGTATAGCTATCTAGTCAGATTATTTTAGCCAAATGTCAAGTCAAGGAAGTATAATTCCTGTTAATGAATTTTATCCCCTGTATAAAAAGATTACTCCCTACTCTATTGAATGAATGTTTCTGTTGTTTAGATATGGTACTCATTAGGTTATACTGAGAAGATGATTCTCTTGTGGTCCATTGTGTAAGGCTACACTCTTTTAGATAACATGATCTTTCTTGAAAAAGATGTTGATCCTGAAAGATGATGAAAAAAACCACAGTCCAGTTGGCACGGAAAGGGAAGCCCAGATTCTTTCCTGACCTTGCTATCTTGGTTTAGACCTTGGTGAGTGGAGGTGTCACTCAGTATTTGTGGGAGTTGAGATCGTTTTTGCCTCTTGAAACTGAACTGGAACTAGGACAGACTCATGTCACCATTCCCAGGCCGACAGTGAATAAAATATGCTAGAAAGTATAGTATCTAATTTCACGTTACTATGTGTTTATTTCCTTGTTATTCCTTAGCCATATCAAGGCAAAGGCCATGAAGCTTCTCTCCTCAACTTTCTTTTCTGCTTTATTGTCCTGGTACTACTCTCCTACTCTCCTACTTTTGCCTTCTAGAGCATCTTATCATGTTATAATATCTTGACTAGAGAGGGAAGGGCTCCTCTATTCCAGTCCCTACCTGTTGGAACTGGTGTCAGGTGGCTCCTCACCACTCTACTTCACTACTGTATGCAATTGACATGGCAGTATCTGAACTTCCTTGGTTGTATGTAAAGCATTCTATTGTATTTTAGTAATGTCCCAAGAAGCCAAATAAGTCTGATGATTCAGACTTCTAGCACGTGTGTGGATCCAGGACTGTTGCAATAACCAGGCAGATGTGGAATGAAGCCTGAGGGAGTTCTCCTTGGTGCAGGAGAGAAAAAGAGGCAAAGCCAGCTGCTTTGTAGAATAAAAGACTGATGTCACTCATCTGCACATCCTACCATGCTCCTTTCCCCATCAGGCATAGGGTAGGGCCCATCAACCATGGCTGTCTTTCCCTTCCTCATCTTTTAGAAGTTATGTAGTGAATTTTATGCCACCTTTCTTTTTTCTTCTCTCTCAAAGGTTGTCACTGTTGTTCATTTTTACCTATTTTATCTGTGTAAAAGTATTAGGGTAGTCTTATTCCATATAATTTATTCTGAGCCAGTGACCCAGACATGCACTTGAAATGGCTTTGTCCAAAGTATATGACAGAATATTTAGAATGAAGAAAGACAGTGGTCATATAACCATACCGCAATCTGCTGTATCTCGTCTTTAATAAACCATCTACTGCATTTGGAATTTTATTTTACTTTTATTTTTAGGATTACTGTTTGTCCAGTTTATTAAAATCAGAGTGTCTTAGTCTGTTTGGGACTATAACAAAATACATAAACTGGATGGCTTGTAAGCCCAATGCATTTTTCACAGTTCTGGAGGCTGGGAAATTCAAGCTCATGGTGCTGCCAGATTTGGTGTTTGGTGAGGTCTTCCTGGTTCATCTTTTTACTGGGTCTTCACATGTCAGAAGGGGCTTGGGAACTCTGTAAGGCTTCTTTTATAGGGGCCTCATGACCTAATCACCCTCCAAAGGTCCTACCTTCCAAACCCATCACCTTGGGGATTAGGACTTCAATATACAAATTTTGGGGGAGACACAGACATTCAGCCTGGAGGAGAGAGTCTCTAAAGGGAATGATAACCTAGGCTGAAGAAGGAAACATTCATTGAACATCTATTAGATGTCTGCTGAGTTTCAGTCACTATGCTAGGCCCTTTGGGGAAGCATTCACAGTTTAGCCATATCTTTAAATAAACCCAGAATGCCAACTTTTTAGTTCCTGGGAAGAATATAATTGTACTTCCAGAATGACCACAGGAGCCATTCTTTCCCTCAAGACAGATCAATACAGGAGGCCAAATTACAATCAAAAGCTAGCTAGATGAGCAGAAATACCAGGAATACAAATGAATAAAGTTATTCATCCCTCTATTTATTCATTCAACAAATATTTATTGTGTAGTGCTATTTTGCTGATGGTTTGTTTTTGTTTTTATGTTTAAATGAAGTCACACTTGAAT